TTGGTGTCACTCCTACTCATTTTGTAGGTCGACAGTTTTGACCTATAATTATTACTCTCTGCTATTTACCCGATGATAATCTGATGCATTCAATGGTGTCTTGTTTTGGTTTTGTACAAATTCAACTATTAATGTCAAAACAAAAATCTAAATTCTAAGCTGTTGTTCAACTCAACAATAAACACTTCGCCCTAATCACTATATAGTGGCTATGCCATTTTAGATTGGTGTCCGAATGTCTGGTGCAGGGGTAACCAATTAAATATCAGTAGGGTCCGAATAAAGAAAATCATCAACAGTAAAGGTCCAGAGACATTTTTAATTATAATCTGTGACTAAAGAGAATTTAAAACTGAAATAAAATTTGTTTTTTTATGCACTTATACACCTGGTGGTCTAAAGGTGCAGTGCAGTTTCTCTCAGCCAGAATGTCCCACGGCTTTTTGAATGATGGGGAAGTGGAAAAATTATCCGGGTCTACATTTTAGGACATTCTCAGGTTTATCAGGGTTTAAGAAACTTGGTATCAGTTCTTAGATCTGAGGAATAAAAGTGAAAGGTCTCAGAAAATGTCAGAGCTCTTTTTTTAATTCAGTCAAATCTTGACAAACCAGGCTTTCTAAAATCATCATACATTCTCACAGACAAACATCACCTCAGTTTTCATGAATCATTGTGAGTCAAACTGGATTGATGAAGCTTGGAAAGAAACGATGGATGATGGTGGGAGAAATAGCGAATAAAAATGTATAAATTACGCTTTATACGTCCCAAAATAAACTTTGAAGATTATAAACTTTAAAGACCTGAGGAAACACAGTCTTATTATATATCTTATTTCATCCTAAGATGTTCACTATGCAAACTAGCATGTTTTAATGTTTTTAAGGTATATCTGGACCCTATTGGGTCATTTGAACTAAACCCAAATGTAAAAACTCATTGACATAAGCCAATACACACGTTTAGTTAAAGAATAAGGTTTATTTAATTGTGTTAATTCATGATTAGAATTAATTATGCATTTTTACATTTGAACACTGGAAAAAAGATTTAGAAATAAGTAAAAACGTCTTAAATTAAGTGTATTTACCCTTAATTTAAGTAGGTAAATAAGACAGTTTGCTATTGGAATGAGTATTTTTCACTTAAAATAAGATATTTAGATAACATGCACTTGAAATAAGAAAATGCAATTGTTTTTTTCTTATTTTAAGTATAAATTGTCTTGTTCCACTGGCAAAATGTCTCTTTTACCTCCTTAATCCAAGAACAAATGCACTTATTTTTAGAAGAAGAATTTTTTCCAGTGAATGTAGTAGGTTTTACAGAATACAGATAGGCCAGATGAGGATTTATTAGTTAGTTATCATGGTTTAATTTTCACAAAATGTTTGTAAAAGTCATAGAACGTCTAAAAAAAGAGTGAATCAGACAAGTAAGTCACCATAAAGAGGACAATCACTATCCGAACAGTGAAGAGGACACATGAAGGAAAAGATAATAAAGCCTAAGAAAGAATTTGAAGCAAAAATAAACAGCAAATAAATCCTTAATGACTACAGAGAATTGAAATATGATTGGAAGTAGATGATTAAACTAGAGCAGAAATATTAAAAGACCAAAATGAGAGAATAAAAATGGAGTCCTAGGGGAAACCGAATAGCTTTAATATGAACTCATTAAAAAATAGGTAAATAACCAGAGAGACTGAGAAGCCTCTAGTAATAACATCAAAAAGTGCGTCACATTGTCTCTGCAGATACGACACTATCAAAAAGTTAAAACAAGCAGTTTGTTTGGTCTGTGACACCAGCAGAAACCAGCTGCCTCTTTGTGATTCTGTCTCCAGACGGTGTGAAATCACTGATCTCATTGTCATTATTAAGACAGTAAATCTGCATAATATTCATTTTTTTCCCTACTTTACTGTACAGCCTCTTTAAGCTGTGGTAGCCTCAGGAAAGACAATACCAGCCTCTTTTCAATTATTTATTCTCATATCAGCCCAGAAAAGATGACAAATGCTAATTCAGGTCCATTCCCCAGCTGGGCGTTCAAACACTCATTAGTTTTAAAGAAGGTTAATCCATTTAGGTTTTGCATATTGATATGCCAATTATGTCTCATCGCAGAGCAGGCATCCGTCAAGGTAATAGTGCATAAACACAGGCAGGAGCATTAGGGAGAAGTCGGCGTTATAATGCAGTTGGTGTTAATTGGTCAGGGGAGGACGGCGGGGTAACTGGTGTGTGTAATGTGAGGTGGGGTCTGATCCGATTCATGCACCCCTTACCATGTCATTTTCAAAGCCCATGCTGTGAGCTACGGGGGTTTTGCAACCAAAACACTGAGTGGAGGGATGGAGAGGAAAGAAAAGTTTGTTAAAACAGCATCTTTCCGGATGAAGCTGCTTTTCAGCAGAATGCATGAGGTTAAATAGGTAGCTTACAGCATTTACTGAGTGTCAGGTGGTAATAGAATCAAGCTAACAAATGTTAGCTTAGTGAGCTAACTGTTAAAATATGTATACCTACCCAGAATAAGGTGCTTAGCTAAAAGCTATAATGCTCCTAAAGGCCAGATTAGACTTCTGCAC